ACTAATGGTCCATATGATAATGTGTTTGGAAGATATAAGAGCTATAGTAATTTATATTAATCTATTCATATTTATTATTTATATAAATGAAGTGAATATAATCAATACTAGTTTTGATATTACATTTGTTTTTATTTTTATAAAACTATTTTTAAGGATTATTATCATTAATATGTGTAAACATTAACACTTAAATATCTAACTTATTTTCAAAAAAAATAAAAAAATAGCCATTAAATAATTTACAGTAAAAAAAGAGATTATCATTAAAACATACGAGTTTGTATATTTACAGGATACTCATTAAGTAATACATAACATCTCAATAATTTGTATTTACAAATTCTAATAATCAGAATTTAAATACATTTATTATCACTTAAAAATGAGAGTAAGCATGGATGCAGAATCTAACAATACAATATACATATAAAATAAAATCGATTTGTTATTGTATTTATACATTAGTTAATAATAAATTATGTTAAATTTATATTTATTAATAAAGGGTAGTTCTAAGTATATAATTATGGGTAATTCTTGTGTAAGTATAAATTATAAGTAAAGTTTTGGTACTTGGTGGTTATTTCACAAAAACATAATTTTATTTTTTTTTTAATTTAAACTTTGTTATTTACAATTAGTTTCAACAGTTGAGTGTTAACAAGCAAGATCAAAAAATGAGTAATAATATATGAATTATTTATAAATAAGAAAAGAGAAAAAAAACAAAAAAAAATTAAATTAAAAAGCCTATATGGGTTAAAAAAAAAATAGCATCTTATCAATGATGTTTTTTTGTTGACAAGAAAGGACATATTTGATGTTGAAAGTGATGTTGGAGGTGTTGAAAAGGGATAATAGGTGGTAACGTTGGAATGAAAGGCTGGGGCAGTTGAAGACATAATAATATTAGGTGAATACTTTATTCGTCATAAATTATGTAACTTAAATATATATATTAATCATACATCTTTATTTTTTACTCGTTTTAACTTTGATTAGACACAGTTTACTGTGTATAAATTAATTCTTACAATTCCCATCTAATTATTTAATATGAGAATACAATATTATAAATAATCAGGAAGTTTTGGTTTATGTGAAGATTTACATTTTCAAAGGATAGTCTATCCCGCCAAGTGCCTATTTATTCTACAAAAATATCACTGTTAATATTACACTAAAAATATATAATATGATTTGCTGAAATTAAATGTTGAAATCGGAATTCTAAATACTTTTTCTTAAAAATATTGTCTTTAAAAAAAATTTTAAAGTTATTTCAAAACAAGTTTAATAATAAATCATCAAATATTCATAAAGATGCTATTATTTTGTCTGCCGCTCACAATGACATTAAATAAGAAAGATATTTTTAATTATATAGATAAATACCTCATGAAATTAACGTATAAAAATGAATTTGTTGATGGTTGGTTTTCCCTTAAAACATCGTATACAAAATAAATAATTCACGGAAAAAGTATTTTTTTTATTTTAATATCTGTTCTTGCATAAAATAAAATTCACCATCGATTGGATAAAAAGTGAACTAAACAATAACCTGATTACGTCGGCGAAAGCTTATGATGCGCAAAAATAAATTGGGTTACTTGAAAACATCTATTCGATTTTTATACTCAACGAAGATAATGTTATTGAAAACAGATTGAGTGTTTTCTTTATTTAACCCGTTAAATTAAATGAGATAATGGGTTTAAGATTAAACAATAAAAAAAAATTATTATTTCAGTTTTCATATTTCAACTTTAAACAAATCTTTTAGAATTTATTTGATGTTTAAGAATTACTCAAATTTATTTTCATATTACTATATTTTATGTACTAGTATATCATATAATATGCATATAATTTTTTCTTTAAAAGGTAATATTTAATAGTTATAATTTTTAATACATATTACGCGTTTTGTTAAAAGTGCGTTATACGACAATAATTTAACATTTAAATAACAACTACTTTGTTGAGTACATATTATATGCTGTTTTATTTTTTAGTTTATTTAAAATATTTTATTAACTAAACATAAACAATAAGTAACAAAAATGAGTAAAAAAAAACTTAATGTAATAGTAATATGGAGTACGTGAAGTGAAACATTCTGTATTTGAATCTCAGAATAATTACTATAGTGTTAACCTTGGTTACTGGTTAGTGACTTATTTTATAGAGGGTGGTATGAGATTTTATTAAATATCATATTTTACATTGTTTGAACGGTCCTTTTAATTAATTAACCAACAAATAATGATTTATTTTTTTTACAATACATTTTTTTACAATAATTTTCTTTTTTAATAAGCTATGTTTATTGAACCGCACGAACCATGATAAATTATTGTTTACTGATGGGTCAGTGGAGTGTACATTGTGGATAAATTATACAAATCTTATAAAGTCTGATTCAATAATATGTAAGCAATGAAACCTAATTTAAACGTACCTTGTGTAATTTTTTAGCGACGTTGTGTATTATTTCTAGTTAAAATATCAATTTCAGTCTTATATTATTTTTTTCTTCTTTTATTGATCTTATTTAAGCTCGGCAGTATGGTCATTAGCTATGCATAGGAACAGTAGGTTTTTTTTAGTGTAAAGTTAGGTTAGTAAATGTGAACACGTGTGTGTATGTGTGTGCCATGGATTCGTCACTAAGAACTCGGGTGATCTCCAATCCGAGAGCTAATGACGACGACCGATGCTTGACCTCAGAACACATTAGTGACTGAGGCTAACCATCGCGCCACACCAGGCCACTTATATTATTTTGTAAAGATGTATAATTGACAAATTTTCGAGCATGTAAAAAAGATATATGAATATTTCAAATTTATTTTCAATGATATATTGTGTAATGAAATTGATCATCGATCTTTAAACAAGTACCTACTTATAAATAAAAATTAACAATATAAATTGTTCATACATTTTATTATCTATTTTATTTATTTTTTATATTCTATTCCTATATTTTTTTAGATTATTTTAAAACTTATAACTGGAAATAATTTCGTTTATTCGTGGTTTTCAAATTAGAAATTGAATAATAAATATTTAATTTTTTATTATAGTGTATTGGAATTATTATAGTATGAAAATTATTAAAATATTTCTCTACTTTAAAAGTTTGAACAATATCTTATAGGCTATAAATATCTGATTTCATTAAAAAAAATATTTATAAAAATAATCATAAAATAGTTAGACAAGTGGATATTGCTCTGCTTCAGATTAGGTGTCAAATGAGTCAATCTAATGGATGTGTTTTATTTAATTTTTATCAAATTTTTGAGCATTTTTACTCATAAATATTTTCTATCGACCCTTATAAAAAAAAAAACTTAGAAGTTCAAATTTCTAAATAGCTTAAAAAGAGTCAGAATATTTTGAAAATTATATTCTATACACAGTAAATACAAATTATTAACATTTAATGCAGATTTTAAGTACTTACTGTTATTCATTTTTGAGTTACATAAAAAAAAAAAATCGATTTTATTAAAAATTGGTTTTGGATAAAAATTTCCGTTAAAACTTGTTCTTAATTATTTGTTTGTTTTCTCAATTATTTTAAAAAATACCAAGAAATTTTTTATTTGCCCCCCTCCCCCCAGAGCACAAACTTAATTCATTCAATTTTCTATTAGAAACCGCCCTCAAAGTTGAAACATTTTGTTAACAACTTATTAAAAAAATTTTATACAATTTAAGCACAAAAAAACACATGTCGTAAAATCAGTTCATTCATTATTCTGTTTAGAATCTAAAATACAATAATGTGACAACAATATTTTTACAATATATAATATGATGTATATAATTCTATCTAAATCTAATCTAATTATTATAATTTTTTTTTTAATTATATATATTGCTTTAGTAACTATTTTTTTTTTTTTTTTTGTTTAATCTAACTTTTATACTCTTAAAAGTACTCTTACAAGTACCCGTGTAGAACATATTTATTTAATGTCTTACTAAAATTTAGTGAACTAATAATATTTTAGGCCATTAATTCATATATGAAGGAAATTAGATAAATAATTCTTTAAATGTCTAATGATTATTTATGTAACTAGGAAATTATATTTATTTTGAAATTTGCCAAGAACAGTTTTTGGAACACATCATATTATTGATATAATATTTTAAATAAAGAAATTCTCGACTGTTGAAAACGTATTTTTTTTTTTTAAGTATATTGGGGAGTACTTAATTTAATTATTAATACATCATGAAAATTAACGTTATGATTTAAAACAACGTTACTTCATATCAAAAACTTATTCAAATAAATATCTATTAATGTTTTCGTGTAAGATTGTCACGCCATAAAAATAGAATAAAGTTACTATAGTCTAAATGGATAATTACGTATACAACACGTTATTTGTATCTTGTTTGAATCTTTTAAATTAGGCTAAATATATAATCAATGACAGCTTATAATTAAAGCGTTTACTGTAGCTTAAATGCTTGTTAGTGTTAAAGGGACAGGACGTTATTCACACACGACACGCCATTAAGTAAATGTGTTTGTTAACACGTATTCATGTGTTAGAAACCTAGCCTGTATACGATACGCGCATTAAATACACTCACATAAACCAATACCGTATATCCGATTTTTTTTTTTTTTTTTTGTTAGACCGTAATTACAGATGGATGTCAAACATAGAGGATTTTAACAAAAAAACAACACTCTGTAGTTTCCAAACGTTAAAAACAGTGTTATGTACGACAAGAATTCACTTGCGTTTTAACTAACTATATAAAGAACAACAAACTTCGATTTTTTTTTTTTTTCGATAACCGATTACGACTTCTACCCTTCTACTTACAAAAATAAAAACCTGAAACAACGCCACCGGATTGGGATGGTATGAATAATGAGCATCGTATTAAATCGAATACCTGTGTTAATAGTACGAATTATAATATTTATAATATTTCGACGGTTGAATTTTCTTTTGCAGACGAGGAGACAGTGACGGTGCGTGGTATTGTGACGTCCGACGGACTGTTTGACGGCACCATCAGTACGGCCGCCGAAGAATTCTTCGTAGAACCTTCGTCGCGGTACGGCACGCTGCCATACCATAGCGTTGCATACCGTTTGTCGGACGTGGACGGCCCAAAGGCGGCCGGCGGCGGTTGCAGATCGGAAGCACTGCGCGGACGACGGTCGACCGACATCGGGCATACCGATGCCGAGAGGCTAGTGAACCAGACTTACGACACGGAGGGTGTGATACTGGTGCGGTCACCAAACGGTACCATCGTGAACCGGAGCAGGCAGTCGGCCTCCAGCAAGACGTCCGTGCCAAAGCCCAACTGGTACGACCCGAATGACCAGCGCAAGATGATCGGGGCCGGCGACGAGGCCAGCAGTAACCTGGTGGTGGACGACAGCGGCGGTTACGATCCATTCGAGAACCGCAAGAAGGGGCTGGGTGGGTTCGTCGACAACCGGAAAACCACGTGCATGCTCTACCTGCAAGCCGACCACTTATTCTACGAGAAGTACGGCAGGGAAGAGACGTGCATCGAAGTCATGACTAGGCACGTGCAAAGGGTGAATGCCATTTACAGAAACACTGGTGAGTTACGGTGATTTTATAATACGACTTAACAATATAATATATTTCGCCCTCGGATATAATATTATGTGCGATATGATTTTCTAGAGTCCGTGAAGTTACTTATAGTGAGAACAAGAAAATCATTATGTAATTTCCGCTTTAACCATCAAACATTATAGTGTTCAATAAGTGCTTTATAGATATTATTAAAAAATAAAAATTAGCGTTTCCGGCTTTGTCAACTTATAGTCACTTATCAACGCTAAAAAACACTAAAACATCTAAATCAAAATTATTTCGATCTTTTCATTCAATAAATTTTCGATTGATAATAAACGCACCTAATTGATATTAGATACCTACGTTGCATCGCGCGTTTTATTATCATTTATCACGAACCTAGTTCGAATCTTTAACGTAGTGCCACTAGATGTTCCCTTCTCTCACGTTTCCGTGTAAACAATAAAAAATTGTGCATTTTTGTAGTCAAATATGGCGCTGCATAAGCATAACATGTAAAATGTCCATCTCCAGAAATAAATAATAATTCGTAAATATAATTATTAGTTTATACATTGTTACACATATTTATGTCTTGACGAGCTTAAACTTAAACTCTCATTGTAGTTATAATTTGATAGACCGATTTATCGATATAAAAAACTGTTATTATTGGTAATGCGCTTAATTAAAATCTTACAAGTAAGAAAATAATACAAAATTTTAAATAAATATCTTCAGCTAAATAATTTTTACTGCAAGTGACAGATTTTTATGTATATAAAATTTAAATTACACTTTTTCATTGTTATGAACATCATTTGAGCATTCCAAACGCTGCGAGTTTCCAATGAAGGCATCTATCATCAAAATTAATAATGAAACGTACCTACCAAGTTTCTCGAAATTCCACAGAATACGTATACATATGTAATTTGAATAATTACATAATATTGCCAACGTAATTAAATTTTCATAAACGAATATTGCATCGTCGTTTATAGTTTATTATATCCAAACAATCGTGACGCAAATGTTAACTCGAGTATTTAATTCGTTTGTTCATTTTCTTAATTATTGTTATCATTTGTATATAGTATATACTTGTACATTTGCATAATTTATTGATTATTCGTTGCAAATAAATTCGTTAAAACTACTAGTATGTTTCTTTTTTCTTTGATATTTACGTTTAATATGCCCTAAATTGATGATGCATACGTCATACAATAACCAAAAAAGTAGACTGGTTTAACCCGCTATTTTTTCCTTCGTATAAACAAATACGTATGCTTTTAAAGTTTTTTGAAGTTTTCCTAATGTATACACATACATTTGTTTTTATAATGATCATATAAAATTGTTATGAAGTAATTACTGATATCGATTTATAAGTACATAAATGTAAGTTTTTTGTATACATTAGTACGTTCATATCGACATGTAAATTAAAATATCACTTAATGTATAAAATATTAATGTAACTTTTCATATCAACATTTTGACATTTAATTCCCTTCTGCGGTGTTTAAAGGTAAATAAATATTGTTAATTATATTTATAATACGTATTTTAAATTTAAATTATAATTCTATGTTAAATCGTTTATGTCAAAATATTTTAAGTATATAATTAATTTACGATTTAAACTTTCAAATTAATGAAAATATATTTAATTTAAATGGGTTAATTGTGTATGATGAGACTTAATTAATAATAATTAAAATGTCCATTATTATCTATCTTAAATAACCTTTTTGATGTTTTAATAAAATAAGGTAATGCATTTTACAAATTTGGTATAAAAAAATTATCTTTGTTTCGCTTTGATTAAACATGCTGTCGACAAATCATTGATTTTTAAATTCTTAATACATATTTGACCCGTTTCATTACACTAGTACCTACTTTTAAATATCTCAAATTAAACAAATAACCTTGAATTAAAATATGGTTTGATATGAAAGCTAAGGGTACCGAATTCGAAAATATAAATGTTATTATTTTATAGAAGTTAATTTTATCAAAGTTTTTTTTATTCCATGACCTTAGAGTTTTATACCAAAAGTTAATTGAGTTATAACTATTAAAAATGTTATAATTCGATTTTTTTGATTTTAAGATCTAATACTTATAGGTCTTCCTATTCATTACTGCAAACCGTATTTCTGTAAAGTCTTTGGACTGAGATATTTAGTGAAGCGTATAAGACCGGATATACTGTATCATTTTATATTATGCATTATATTTATTTATTGTCCTCAACAAGTTACAAATATCTTTATATATTGTGAAATACTTAGGATATGTATAGGTATACAATATACATAATACGTATATAGTATGGTAGATAGGTAGCTATTATTATTATTATTTTTTAAATAAAATAAAAATACTTAATAATAACACATTATGAAGAAATATAATGCTTATTTCATGTAATACTTTATGGAATTAAAAATTATAATAAAATATGTATTTATGTTTTATATAGTCGTTTTCATTTTAGTATTTGAATTTGTATTAATAAATACTTCTACTTAAACTCATAATCATCGGATTATTTGTATTTATCTTCATGAATAAATATATTTTAATAACTTTAAAATTAACATAACTTAGTATACTCGTATATTACACGTAATATTTATTTACTATTTACAATGGTAAAATCCTTAATAATTTTATACTTTATGTATTTTGTATATTTACATTGGTTGTGATTCATAAATTTATTCGTCATGAGCTTGTTTAATGGGGCTGTTATATATTCTTAAAAAATAAACAAAAATAACTAACTTTATAAAGTTGTAATTTATAATATTCTTATAGAAAATAACTTAAGACAAGTCATCAAAATTTCTGAGAATAGTTACTTATACTTAAACCAAGAAGATTAATATTATGCAGTTCTAGACTTAACTCTCAAAGGAAATAACAGGTATTAAATCTGTTTGATATGTAAATATATACTATATATTATATATATTATATATATTATATATATACCATCACTTATATTACATATCAACATCTTAACCTTTAACCTCTCTACATTTTTGCGATTTTGGAAACTTAACCCAAACAAATTATGTCAAAATTATCTAAAAATTTAGAGCATAAACAATATATGGAGAGACTTTATACTGCGCCTCATTGATTTTTATTTATCAAGAAGCTATCTCTGTAAAATCAATATATTGTGAACAATTTTTCAAATTACCATTGATCTGGAAACTTTCTTTGCAAATTAATACTTTTAAATTATAATACTTACATTTCTTTAAACCATGACCTATGTAATACAATAATGTTTCAATTTTTAAATCTGTTACTTCAAGTTTTCATAAAAATATATTTTAATGCATATGAAAGAAAAACCATATAAATGAAAAAAAAAATGTTAGGGTATTCAAAATTTGTTTATTTACTTAACTACGAAATTTCTAACAACATTTTATTATAACTTAAAAAAATAATTGAAAAAAATCGTTTTTTTAATTCATTAAAACATGTATCCACCTTTTTTTATTATGTTTCAAAAATATATTTCTTAGCTTAGTCATTCAATTCGTTGTATCCTATTTATTGTCGCACACATGCGTGATTTTTTTTATGACTTAATAAGTCATATGAAATAAATTCAATTTCTAGTCGTATTTGTTAAAATACATACTATATCTATAGCATTACCGGCAGCTGAGTAAGATTGGTTGATGTAATAATGAAAATAATATCGTCTTGGAGAACGAGAACGTAATCAAACAAACACGTGGCAAGAGAAAGACCAACCAATCTTTGACAGGAATGAGAAGAATGATGATAATGACAAGTAGAGGAGAAGAAGGAAAAGTGTAGGAATGGGAACTGCGGGCAGAGATTGTCGCCACCGGTCTCAAAATAGTAATTCAAACTTTCTATAAAATTGCGTTTATATAGAGCATCCCTTCCGCGGGGTCACGTTTTAGTTGTTCGATTGTCCCGATCCTGTGCAATATACGTCGTAGGGTAGCTGCTTGCGGGACAAAAGTTGCCCCTGTTGGCAATGCTTGTGTGTACGAGTATACGTGAATATATAGTATATATGTGTTTGTATAGCGTGCGTGTATAAAGACGATGCTTAAGCAGTAAGGAGTAGGTGGAGATATTTTGGGGCAAAATTCACCAATATAGTGTGTGTGTGTGTGTGTGTGTGTGTGTGTGTGTATGATTGTGTGGGTGTTCTTTGATTAATGTCGTTTTCACGCCAAGCCACCGTCGACGCCGCTCGCGTGACCTAAACCTTGCTGCATTTTCCGGCGACTTCCGTTCGATAACGACGGAGACGCGCGTCGAGATTGTGTTATTTCATTAATACTACACCACCCAACACCATTTCCACCATCACCTGCGATGAAATAAACTTTTCAAACGCACACCACCGATCGGTCTCATACGCCAATATATATGTTTACCTAAAAGTAATGTATAGGTATATATGCGTACAAGTCGTATATCTTGTTTCTTACAACAAATACCTACAAGCGTAAATTATTCTAAGTTATACTTGCCACCTTTTCAAATAATTATTATAGTAAAATAAAATAAGTTTGAAACAATCGATCACAATAATTATTAATTTTAAACGTAATTAAATATATCTATGTTATTACCATCATTTTTAAATTGTAACTGCTTTTTATTAATATAATCTGAACTAAAATGTATATAAATTAATTCTAAGGATCTTATAAGTAAAAACGATTTTTGTCGTACAACACGAAGAAGCAAAGTACGTTTTTACACAGTACATTTTGTACGATTTTTAAGCAATGCAGAGTATTTTTAAAGACATAATTTATAAATACCAAATAATTAAAAATTAAAATTAATCGCTTGTGCCATATAACCATTATCTGTGATAGTTCAACCCCAAAAAACACTTCAATGAAAATTCAGTAAAAATTATATTAACAATGCTGTGGTACTATAGTTTAAAAAATTAATTAATTATAAAACATTAAACTAATTTAAAATGT